TGGTCATGACTGAAAAATGAGCAGCTAGAAACCCATCAGGGCTTCAGCTGACAGCTAATAATGATAAGAGCTTTTTGAATGAGTGTCCAAATGTGAATGGGGATGCTGAAATCTTTTCTATCCAAATTCACACACATAAAAAATTAATAATTTTGAAAGTTGGCAAAATTGTACTAAAACAATGAAATAATCAATTTCCAAATCTACAGAAAAGTGCTTCCATCTACTGCATTAAAAAATAAATCACGGTTCACGCCCTACTGAGATCACGGGTTGCCCCCCACGAGCAGATCTCAGGCATGGCCATGGCTCCAGAAGCACAAGGACTTAATGCAGAGCCCTGTAGCTTTCAGCAGAAAAGTGAATGGACTATGTGTTAATCCACGGCACCATGCCTGCCCGGAGGGGAAAGGGTGTTGCTCCCTTCGGCCTTTTTCACTCTGGAAAGCAAGATGGCGGCCTCATCGGAACTTTTTGGAAAGCCAGGTTTGAGCTGGTGGTGATGGGGCAACTGAAACCTCATGGGAAGGGGGCGTTCCCGACTCATCCTTCACGCCCTACTGAGGTCATGAGTTGCCCCCCACAAGCGGCTCTCCGGCACGGTCATGGCTCCAGAGCCACAGAAACCAATCTCGTAATTATCTGGCTCTCGGCAGAAATATTTCCAGGCTTAATAAGTAAAATATCAGAAATCCAAAATCGCACGGCTGCTATTGCGGCCATGTGACATCATTTGGTTCTAGTAACCAGCTGTAGAAAACAAATTATTTCACAATGCTTTTCAGCAGGTCTGATTTGGGGGTAAGGTAAAGGTAAAGGCCCTCCCGTTGATCGTCGATTTGCTCGAGCGGGCCCAGAAACGTCTCCATTGGAGACTTTGTTGTTACTGTGTCTGGCATATCAAATACTCTCGGTAGCTTGCCGGGCTCTCCGAGAGGGGCGGAGAAATCGAACTCGGGTCGGCCATGTTGGCCGCTTGTAAGGCGAATGCCCTACCCACTGTGCTATCGCTCCAGCCCGATTTGGGGTGTAAACTCTAAACAATAATGGTGCATCTTTTGTCGAAACAATTAATCTAATCAAAGTAGATAGAGTGTTAATTAGAATTCATCTGCCTCACAGGCATTGAGAGGGGCGGGAGGGGGGTATATGGGATTCTTGGTGGTGAAAAATAAGTACTGGTGAGGGGAAATGTGTTTGATCATTGCATGACCGAAACTTAAACCTGAAAGCTTTGTAACTTTTCCCACAGTGATTCAATAAAAAAAAATTTTTTTTAAAAATCACTGCAGGACAGAGGAGAGATAGCCCAAAGGAGAAGAGCATACTTGAAGTTTTGAATTTGATCCTCAGCTGAATGCCCGACCTTCAGTACTGGAGAGAAGGCCCTATACTGGGCCAAGAAGTACCTAAACTCCAGGCGACACACCAAACCCTTAGGTCTAGAGTGCTGGGCTAAGTGTGACCCTCAGATCTCAGAACACTGTTGGGAAAGTCGCTCTAAATTAATACAGGGGTTATTGCTTCTGCTGAAGCAACAGTTTTCACTCAATTCTCTTTCACTGTAACACTGTCTTCCGCTATGCTGGTATTCCTCACTCAAAAGCTCTTGCTCCACGTCTAGACTGAGGCTCAAGGATAAAGCAAAGTGTATACTTTGTGTGTGTGTGAGGGTCTGAGTTTGATACTGCAAAAAGAGAAAAAATAGGGTTGGAGCGAGAGCACAACAGGTAGTGCGTTTGCCTTGCACTACCGACCGGTAGTTCGGCCGACCCGGGTTCGATCCCCAGCATCCCATATGGTCCCCTGAGCACCGTCAGGGGTAATTCCTGAGTGCAGAGGCAGGAGTAACCCCTGTGTATTGCCGGGTGTGACCCAAAAAGAAAAGAAAAAAAGAGAGAAAAAACAAAAAAGGAATGAGTGGAGGGGAAAACTAGGAGGGTCTCAGTTCCTTCACTGACTTTTAACCACTCAAATTCTTTTTTGCCCTACACTTTTTTCTTTGGCTTATTTATCTATTGCCTATATGCTCTGCAGTTCCTAAAATTTTTCAGTCTTGTGTCATCTCTTCCCTCATTCTCTTTGATCTTGAGTTCATACCGCATTACAATTTCTTGCTGTTTTCTTTGGGTTTTGAAACCTCTTGTCTCTGTAGACCAGTATTGTGTCTAGTTGACAGCTTTTTTCACAACTTCAAGCTACATCTGAGCTGATAAATGGCCCAGTGCTTTTCAAGGAGCCTAGAGCCGAAGTCTGTCAGAGCAAGGCTGGAAAACAAGAACCAGACATCCACATTTGCAGAGCTCCTCCAGCAGGCAATTTTCTCCAGAGCTCCCCTTTGGGCTCGCACAGAGGATGTCAAATCAGCTTTGGAGTCTGATGATTCCTCCAGCCCACACCTGTCCCTCCCTTTGCCTTGCAAGTATTTCTCCACAAGTCACTTTCCTATAACACCTGCTTCCTGGAGCACCTCATGGGCTCGTTTGTTTATGTAAGAATCTACTTGGGAGGACATAGGATCATCTTAGAGAATCAACTGAGGAATTTAATTCTGGAGGAAGGAGCTCTGCAGGCAACTCTGCCAGCCTCATCTTTAAAGCATCGCATTCGTGTAGTTCCAAAGACACACACTCGCATCATCTTACAAATATTAAAAACAAAAGGAGAGATAATGATTGGCACAGCTTGGGTCAGGTTCAATTATCAGAAGACAGTAAGAGTTGGTCTCTATTAGGTGCATTTCCAGGAAAAAAGGAAATTGAGCTACTCCTCATTAAAAAACAAATGCTAATGCTTAAGGAAAGTTTCCAGTGTTCAGACAAAAATATAAATGAAGAATGCTATTAGAAAGATACATCTGAAGAGCTAGATGAGACACGGCTACCCAGAATCGGAGTAAGAACTGTCCTACATGTCCCCCAGTGACCACTGGAGACATCTGCATTCCCTCTCTACATATTCATATAGTCTACAATGAGCATCTTGCTAAAATTCTTCAGATACAATGAAAAAAATTATCAATTTTCTGTTAGTCATTTTCTTGAGAGAGTTTGTCAGTAGGATAGCAAAAGACTGAAGGAAACTTGTCTAATACTATATTTCTATATACTATATACCATCAAATTGTCTAATACTATATTTCTTTTTATAGTAATTGCCCTACCAATTCATACTAGTTTGCTGTTAGCTAAAGTCCCCAAAGGATCTTCATCAAGCTACTGGTAAATTAGTCACAATCTGTCACTGTCACCCCGTTGTTCATCGCTTTGCTCGAGCGGGCCCAGTGACATTGTGAGACTTGTTGTTACTGGGTTTGGCATACCGAATACATCACAGGGAGCTTGCCAGGCTTTGCCATGAGGGCAAGATACTCTCGGTAGCTTGCCGAACTCTCCGGGAGGGGTGGAGGAATCGAACTCGGATCGGCCCGGTCAGCTGCATGCAAGGCAAACGCCCTACCCGCTGTGCTATCGCTCCAGCCCAGTCACAATCTATATTTTAAAAATTGACAACTTAATCTTAATTGCACTTGGGTTGGGGGATTCACCTGAAGGTTACTGGGGGACCATGTAGTGATCTGGGATCAGACCTGGGGCTCTCACATGTAAAGCATATACTCCAACTCTCTGAGCCATCTCCCTGCCTTAGTGGAAAATTCTTTAATAAATTGTCACTTGTCATTTGTCTTTCATTTTTAATACTGTAACTTTCCATTTTCTCACATATAAATTTAGCCTTGTGTCTTCCCCTTTCCATTCCCCCCCCCCCCACACACACACACACCCCAGCCACCATAGGCTAGAGTTCCAGGGATGGAACTCAGGTTCTCATAAACTCACTCTATCACTGAGGTACATATCCCATCCCAAATATATCTTCATTGACTCTGGTGATGTCAAGAACCTGGTGACAAATTACTTGCAATTTCCCCAAGCTGACATGAATCTATGAACTTGCTTTGGGTTTGATCACTTTATCAGATGAAGTCACGTTTCTTCTTTCAAATGCCTATCTCCACAAGCCTATCACTAAAGACTTCCTAAATGCTCCACTAAAACCCAGAGAGACCAAAATGACTAGCTCATGAGCCTCCACATTCCCTTTCAAGAAAAGGAGTTTGTCAATTAAATAATGTCCCTTTCCCTATGTGCAAATAAATCCACAAGAATCATATCAAAAATTAACATCATATGCAAGATGTCCTTTTGCCCATCCAGTTCAATTGATCATATTTTTTAAAATTCTAAGGATTAAGCGGCTGGAGCGATAGCATAGCATGGAGGGCATTTGCCTTGCACACGACCTGGGTGCGATTCCCAGGATCCCATATGGTCCCCCGAGCACCACCAGCTGTAATTCCTGAGTGCATGAGCCAGGAGTAACCTCTGTGCAACACCGGGTGTGACCCAAAAGGCAAAAAAAAAAAAAAAAAATTCTAAGGATTAAAAATTTTCAGCTTCAAAACATAGTAGCAATTGCTTGAGGAACCACATATCTGGAGATGAAATTCATACATAGGAGTTGGGGATGCAGCTCACCGGTCAGCAATCGATTTGCATATATGAGTTCCCAGACATAATCCCGGCCTCCCCCCCTTCACCCACCCCCCAAAAAAAGAAACGTGTAAGTGTTCTCCCTTACCTTATCTTGATCACCTTGGGGATTACATTCCTACTTCCTATGCTTTCCCACCTTATTCTGTTTGTGTACTGTACTCCTCAGAGTATGAAATAAGCGGCCCCAAAACAGAAGGATTAATTCCATGATCTTCATGTTGACTCTACATCATTGACAATACGCATATTCCTACTGTGTTTGCTCTTCAGCTTTTACAAAAATTTGTATTTTAGAATAAAAAACCCCACCTTTTCTACTTTAGACTAAACGTCACAACCAATTATAATTTAGTTATATTGTCCCTGGTTTCTATTTTCTTCCCGTGGAAGATTAAAAAAGGATGAATGCTCAATGGAAAGGAAAATGATATTGGTAATGGATAGGACTTTTTTAAAATTTAAACAACAGAAAAACGAAAGCTAGTATAAAAGTGATTTATTACAGTACAGAACCTAGAGTATCTTACAGAAAGAACTCAAAAATAACAACACAACCACAGGAAAGTGTCTCAACACAGTCATAGGAGATAGGAAGGGGAAACTGGAAAAACCTCTGGGAGCACAATGTACTCTGCACTTCTCATCTCTGTCTCTTATGCGTCAGTTTCCTTTTTCTTTGTCATCAGAATGGGAGAGTTGGACTAGCTGGCTCCTCATGACAATCAGAAAGTGCCTCAAATGAAGTGCTAGCCCCGCAGACAGGCCCTCTCTTCATTCCGAACTTTGTAGAGGAGGAAGAAGGACTGCTTGATGGGCTGAGGTTGGTTCTGAAGCAGACTCCCTGCTGAGGCAACTGTGGATAACAGCAATGAATCTCACGGAACAAAGTGGCACATGGGGCCCTATGACTAGGATGAGTGGACAGTGTGGAGGAAGAAATGTCAGGTTTTAAGAAGATACTCTAGAAAATGTTTTCTCCAGGGAATTTTTATTTTTTTAAATTCAAGTTTTAGATTCTGCTTTGGAGTAAACACTCTTATTGCTTACAAGGTTTCTGTGTTCCCAATATTCCTTGTTAAATGTTAAAATCTGTGGGAGATTTTAATAGGCAAAACCTGGAAGACAAAAAATAACTAGCAGTCTTTTTTCCTTCTAAGATCAACACAGGCACAACTTTCACATTGTGACCCTGAACTGGAATAAGTATGAACATACCAAAAAAAAAAAAATAGCTTGCTAGTGATTCTGAATATGCTATTTAATTACATATATAAACTAATATTTCTTTCAAATAAATAAATGCACAAGTTTCTATATTTAAATAACTGTACTGAGAGGTCACACACAGCTTTACTGCTGGTCCCAAGCATTTCTCATAAGACCAGGTAAATACTGGTGATTAATATACAACACTAAATGCACAAATGAATAAATGGTGTCCATAAAAAAATCAACCCAAGCTTACAAAAAAGTTTTTACTATTCATTCCAGCTTTAAATAAATTTTACTAAAAAACGGAAAGAGAAAACAACAAAACAATATAAAATTCATGTAGAAAGGATGATTCTGTATACCTACCAGAAAATCTTTATCACATATTAAAAATGAAATCACTAGATAATATTGAAATTATTACTTAACAGTAAGTCCCAAGATAGAAAACATTGGCCCATACATAGCAGTTACCCAATGCTCCTTTCTCACTTGAGTTGTGTCATGTAATACAATAGGTAAATAAAAGTTTTTGAGCCATTATAATATTCCCGCTGCTCTGGTAAATGAGAGACAAGTTGTAGGCAATATCTCTTCGTAAGTCTAACTGGTCAAGTTCTATGCCCTATGAGAAAAATATAGGAATAAGTTACATTTCAAATTGACAATCAGATAATTTCATGGTAAATAAAGTTTCAAAAGTATTCAAAAAGTATTCAAAAAGTTTTATATTAAAATCCCTAATATTAAATGATAACTCTTAAGTCTGTAATTTTTTCTAAATATACTGAGTCAGTTTACCATTACAGTGATTTATCATCAAATATCCTTTTCCTTTTCTCTTTATCTTCTAAAATTTCTATTCAAGCAGATATTTCCTTTGTGATCAAACTCCAAAGTTTTGATTTATTTTTTCACCATATTTCAATTTGAGTTGAATAATCTTGAAAACTTCTTTTGATTGGAGGCCATACTGCAGAGCTCAGAAAACCATGCTGGGATAGAATCTGAGGCCAGAGGAAGCAAAGCATACGCGCCAGATCTCTGAGCTATTTCCCTGACCCAAACAATGTTTTGGGGATGAGGGTCTCTCAAGTGGTGCTCAGGGGGGCCCAAAACTCACTCCTAGGGATTCTTAGAGTTGGTTGATGGTTGAGTTCAAGGGTCAAAGGGTGCAGTCCTGCTTGGGTTCTGCAGTGCTGGGCTTCAGTGGGTGATACTCAGGGGACCATATGGTACAGGGTCATGTAATACAATAGGTAAATAAAAGTTTTTGAGCCATTATAATATTCCCGCTGCTCTGGTGCATGATGTCAAACAAATTATGCACCTTAATCCCTGCACCAGCTCTCTGGCCCCAAACATTTAAGTTAATTTTTTTTAAAGGAACAAATTGGCATATTTTCATTATGGAAAAATTTTGAAAGAAGATGTAGCTCAAATGGCAGAGCATATGCCTTGGGTTCTGGATTATATCCCCAGCATCTCAGGGTCAACAGGTGACACCAAGGATAGCACTGAGCTTCTACTTTTTGGGTCACACATGGTGATGCATAGGGGCTGCTTCTGGTTTTTCACTCAGGAATCACTCCTGGTAGTGATCAGGAGACTGAATGGGATGGAGGGATCAAACCCAGGTCAGCCACGTTCAAGGCAAATACCCTCCCTGCTGTCCTATTGCTTTGGCCCCCAATTTATATCCTTATATATTAACACTCACAGGTGAAATCAGCTAATACTTGTTTTTTCCCTTTTGACTTATCTCCTAGATTTCCTTCCAATTTACTGACATTTTACTGACAACAGCAAAATTTCATCTTTAATAATGGCTACAATCTCATGCTTATTCAATTATAAAAAAAAGTGACTAAAACTGATCATAAACAGCCTTACAACTGTATCTCACACCGATTCAATAAAAAATAAATTTAAAAAAATGGCTAAATAGTATTCCACTGTATCAAGTATTTTAAAATATTTAACAAGGGCTGGAGCAATAGTACAGCAGGTAGGGCATTTGTCTGATCCATGGCTGATCCTGGTTTGACCCCCGGCACTCCATAGGATATCCTAAGCACTGGGCACTGCAGGGAGCGATCCCTGAGTACAGAGCCAGAAGTAAAACCTGAGTATTGCCAGGTGTGGCCCAAAAACCTAAAAATAAAAACCCAAAAAGTTTAACTAATAAATTAAGTTTAACTAATAAATTAAGGAATAACTTTAAATGAACAAGTTATTAAAAAGTGGAAAAAGAAAAAGCCATAACATAATACCAATATAATCTTAGGGAAAATTTTAAATATAATGGCAGAACAATGAACAGATATTACATGAATAGACTCCTTTACCGGTACAGTTAAATCATACAATACCTCTACTATTATTGGAGGGAGCTCCAGTGCTTTCTCATAATAGTGGATTGCAAGGTGAGTCAGACCCAGTTGGTGAAGACCCCGGCCCAAATTGTAGAATGATTCCTGGCAAGGCCCACGTAGACTAAGATATCGATTAAGAAAGGAAAAGCCCTGCCAAAAAGGAAAACAAGTTAGTACTGTACTCACTTGATCAGTAGGTACTAATCCACTGTATGTGGCAGGTGCTGGGAATACTAATATTTCAAGAGACAGAGCATCACCCTGAAAGAACATACATCTGTAGTCTAGTGTCATATCAAACTATAGGCAAGAGCTCTTCTGAAAGTGCAAATAAAGGAAGGTTTCATTTTTAAGCTAAGAACAAAAACAGTCACCAAAAAAAGGCCAAATATTACTATTAACTTAGGAGTAAATCAATTTTTTTTAAAAAATCAGTAATTTTAAGTATAGAATACCACATAAAGTTACTCTCTGGGTGATCTACTCTTATTATATACAGTTAGATAATAGTCACACATTTATCTTCGTGAATAAATTAAAAAATGTATAAGTATCTCGCTCACACAGCAAAGCCTGCCAAGCTCCTTGTGACGTATTTGATATGTCAAACACAGTAATAACAAGTCTCACCATAGAGACTTTACTGGTGCCTGCTCAAGCAAATCAATGAACAATGGGAGGACAGTGTGACAGTGCGGTAAGTTTTTTAGATTCCATTTTAGAGATAAAAGTAATTATGGTCAGGGGCTGCAGAGACATCATAGGGGTTAGAGCACATTCCTTACACCTTAAGCATAACCAATGCAGTCCTGGAAGCCCCCGAAGCACCAGGGTGTGGCCATGATGGTCTCAGGTACTCAGGTACCTACATCCTGAGGTTCGAGCATTCTACTATCTGGCCCACTTGGCTGAGAATTGCCAGAAATGGCCTCAGGGACCCTGAGCACCACCTGGCAGGCTCTGCCCCAACAAAATTTTATATTCAAAAACAAAATCATACATTCTGCATAATTAAGGAACCCATCTGTGTTTGGCACAGTGACCTCAAACCATATAGTTTCTGTTAAGTAACAGTGGGAAAACTACTGTCTCAGAGAAATATGCAGTCCTTGCAATTTAAATTTAAAGTCAAAAACCCAGAAAGAAGAAATGATAATCCAAGATAAAGTGCGGCAACCCAAATGAACTCAAAGGTCTCTGATACAATAAAAGTAGTTACATGCTGCATTTCAAGACTTTCATAAACAAATATAGGAGACTTGACAACTAGAAAAATATTCAAATATTTAATGATTTTTAAAAAAGAGAATGTAGACAGGCAATTAATTTCTTTGGCATTATGAATCACCAAATATAAAACTAAAAAATGAAAACAAGAAAAAATTTAGTGGAAAAAGTTCTTTTAACATTAACTCTGTTACAGCTCAAACATTTTATCATACTAATCACTAACTGACTTGAGTCTTACAGGATGATATAAAGGCAGGAAAGATAGCAAATATTTTTTAGTGCAAAGAAAAAGAAATGTATAGTTCTGTAGAAAAGATTCTAGAGAAATGAAAAATGCTGATAGCAATAAAAATTGATTTATCTTTAGAATAACACAAAATTAGAACAATGACTGAAGAAATTAGTACAATGGACTTAATGAACTCTACCCATAATCTCATATTCCTCTCCATCCCCAATCATTTTTGACATATATGTGTGTGCATATATGTTTGGTGGTGCTGTTTGTTTTGGATTGGTTTTGGAGGCCATACCCAGCTATGCTAAAGGTTACTTCTGGATCTGCACATAGGGATTACTTCTGGGGATCATATGGGATGAGAGGGACTAACCAAGGTCAGCCTACTAGGACAAAAATCTACATATTTTAAGTATTTAGTAGTATTTAATTAATTTCCCACTGATTTCTTTATGGGCTGGGGGAGAGGAGGTTGGCTCACATGTGGCAGTATTCAGCCTTAACCCTGGCTCTGTGCTCAGGGATCACTCCTGGCTGTGCCCAGGATTGACACTATATGGGATGCCAAGGATCGAACCCAGGTAGCCTGCATGCAAGGTAAATGCCTTACTTGCACTACTATTGCTCTGGCCCCCTCACCAAATTTTTTACCAGAATATAGCTTCATGAGAACAAAGAATTTTCTATCTGCATTTTCTATCTGTACTCACTGCTACATTCTTTCTTAGTTGCTGGCACAATGGATATATAGTAAACACATAATTGCCTAATTTTAAAATAATCCTACATTATTTAATCCAGGAAAAGTTTCCATTAAGTTACAAAAAAAAATTAGGATAAGAGGTTAAACGCTGAAAGTACCTCAAAAAAAGTAAAACTTCAAGTTAAAAAAATTTGATAATTTCGAGTACACAAAAGTTAGAACATTATCAATTTCAAATTTTAACAATTACTTTAATTCAGGGGTTGAAGCGATAGCACAGCAGGTAGGGCGCATTGCACGCCGTCGACCGACCTGGGTTTGATTCCTCCACCCCTCTCGGAGAGCCTAGCAAGCTACTGAGAGCATCCCGCCTGCACGGCAGAGCCTGGGAAGCTCTCTGTGACATATTAAATATTCAAACACAGTAACAACAAGTCTCACAATGGAGATGTTACTGGTGCCTGTTTGAGCAAATCGATGAACAACGGGAAGACAGTGCCACAGTGCAGTGCTACTTTAATTCAGGTTTTCTTTTAATGATTTTACTTAAAAACAAACAAACAAGCAAAAAAAACTAAAAAATGCTCTTTACTAATGCCAACATTTCCTTCTTAATCTCTTTAAGAATTATGTCTCTACATGTATCAAACAAAGAAATTAAAATCATAAGAACAAAAAGTTTTGAAGATACAGTGGTAACAGGACAGACTTGAACTCCAATAATCTTGGAGTTTTTATTATTAGAGGAGATAAAAAAATATACAAAATAAAATAAACAAGTAATTTCAAAGTGCTATGAAAGAAAGCTTAAAAAAAGAAAGTTGTCATTGATGATCTAAGGTATAGTTACATATTCATAATTACTATATGTCCATATTATACTTTTTTAAAAAATGAATTTTCAATGGTTAAAAAGCTGGAGGCCTCAGTGGTTCCAGATTATAAGGAGGTCTGCACAAGAGTCCTAAGATTTGCTGTACCTTTTTTCCTGATGCACCCTTTCTGATTGACTGTGTAAGTCTTTGAGTATAGTAGGTGTGGCATCACAACTGCTGAACACAGGGATGGTTGGTGGCGACTCCCAACAGGTATACTAACCAGGCATTACTTTTGAATTAAGGTAATAAAAACATCTCACAACACACACACACACACACACACACACACACACACACACACACACACACACTTTTAAAGAAAGGAGGAGAAACCAAAACAAATTACCTGCACAACAAGGGCATGTCTCTTTAAAACATACTTCTGAGATGCCATGTGGATAAAAGTCAGACCAATACACAGGTTGTAGAGAGGCTCGGTGGGATGGGTGCGGAAAGCTTGCACGTATTGTCCTAAAACGAGCAGCAATGTTGGATGGTGTGGCAAAACATGTCACACATTCAAGTACTTTTAATTTCAAGTTTTCTTCTAATTACACCCACCACTAAAATTCTAGCATCATCCAGTGCCAACTGAAAGATCCGTCTGCTCATCTCTTTGTAAATGTACTTTAAGACTATCAAAGATTATGCCATTTAACATATGGAAGGAAAGTATTCTAAAGTATCTACCAATGCACATTAATTGGAACTGTGAAAAAAATGACCAATATAACACAATGTAGAAGGACTTACTCATGAACGTATCCTGACTTTGAAGGTTAAATGTCAGCCAATAAAAGTAATTTTTTAAGGTGTAGCTAGACATTTCCATGTAGAGTAATGCTTCCAAAATAAACAATTCATTATGAGCCTAGAGATAGCTCAGTGGCTCAGCACCTGCTTGGCAGGTGGTACGTCTCAGGTTTGATGCCAGATCTACTCACTGCACATGCCAAACACGATTCTGGCAGCACTACTGTTGAGGATCCCTGGCATCACAACAACAGAGGTCTGATCGCTGGTGTACATAACGAAAGAGGTGACCCTGGGTCATTGCAACCACAGAAGGGAAGTGGGAATTTTTAAAGCAACTTCTCATTTGAATTCATAAATCTAGGGCTGGGATGTAGCCCAGTGGCAGAGCACATGCTTCGTGTGAAATCATAATTCTACCCTATGGTCTTAAATCTACTTAAAAAACAATGGATCTCTCACTCCACTCTAGTTACCTGCATCCCAGCTTGGAGTGAATACTTTCTCTTCTTTCACTTTATGGAGTTCACACTTGTTCTCTTCTCTACTTCCTAAATAAAACTATTTACTTAATTTAAAAAAAAAAGTAATGGATCTTTTGGTGAATTCTTTTGTAAAACGAATGAATTTGCCTTAAAAATTCAAACGTGATGGATTATGAAAGTGAGAAAGATTATTTTTGAAGGAAAGGGACCATACCCAGTAGTGCTCAGTGATCACTCCTGGTGGTACTTGGGGTTTGATAGGTAGTGCCAGGAAATGAATTGGGCCAACCACATAAAAGGCAAGCCCCTAATCCCTATACTTTCTCATCAGCATTTGTTTTGTTTTTCAGATTATGGATATTATTTCCTTAAATGGAGCAGTACCTTTTTTTAAAATAAGAAAAACTAGATGTAACTGAAAATAATAACTTGGAGTTTTTGAATTCTATGTATTGTTTATGTACAATATTCTCATGTCAAAATTTAACCATTTGAATTTGGAGAACTTAGGCAAATTTTTCTATGAAAAGGAATGATATATTTATACACAGAGGAAAACCTCTATTCTCGTGGTTTCTATTACGAGGAAAGGTTAGAGAGAATCTCTTTACAGATAGTAGATTGTAATATGGAATTTTATTTTTATCTTTTTTAAAGTTTCTAGATATAAGAAAATAAAAATAACTCTCTATTTTGTATTTCCTTAACATTAAATGAACAATTTTTAAAAAGCACACACAAATTTTAAAATCTGATATTCAATATTACCGGCTGAACAATTATAAAACATCAATTATATAAAAAAATAAAAATAAAAAATAAAAGTATCAGATAGGCAAAATCAGATAACTCATAAGAAGTGAATTTGGCAATATCAGCTTTGAGGCAGCAAGTAATAAATGTCTCATTTTTCTTTTCTTTTTGGGTCACACCTAGCAATTCACAGGGGTTACTCCTGGCTCTTGCACTCAGGAATAACTCCTGGTAGTGCTTGGGGGACCATATGGGATGCTGGGAATAGAACCTGGGTTGGCCACCTGCAAGGTAAGCTAATTGCTGTGCTATCACTCCAGCCCCAATGTCTCATTTTATATTTACAGATTTGATTAGATAATTTTCTGTTTGCTTTTGATCCCTTATTACAATTATTTCCTATAAGTTATTAGTGAATTGACTCTCTGGCTTTAACTAGAATTAGGTTTAAGCAGAAAGAATTGATATTTTATTATTATTATTATTTTTGCTTTTTGGGTCACACCCAGCAATGCTCAGGGGTTATTCCTGGCTCTGCACTCAGGAATTACTCCTGGCAGTGCTTGGGGAACCATATGGGATGCCAGGGATCGAACCCAGGTTGGCCGCGTACAAGGCAAATGCCCTTCCCACTGTGCTATCGCTCCGGCCCCAAGAATTGATATTTTAAATGAACTGTAACACTTTGAAATTATAAGTCTTTAAAAAACAAAATTTTGCCAAGAACAGTAAAACATTGTTGTCACCATTATCATTAATATTTATGTTAACTCAAAATAACTCATTATATTAAACTCATCTAATTTCCCCATTAATCTAAAAGGTAATAATGTTCATTATCTTCGTTTCCAAGATAAACTATATCAGAGAAAGGTAAACTCACTTGGGCATGGTTGAACTATTTAAATCCAGGCAGTGGACCAGATTCCAAAACATCATACTGCCCATGTGTAACAAAGTCAGACGCGAGGATACTTACCAAGTGCATGCTTAAAACTACCAGACACAAATGCATTGTGCCCATTTAAGACACACAGGGCATGATTCTCTGGGTTTTTCAGCATTAAACGTAGACAGAAGCGATGATGTCGTACTTCTTGGGAATGCATGGTAACTTGATTGAAAATATTCCAGAGTTGGGGTTTATTAACATTTTCCATAACCATTACCCTAGAATTGCAGGAAGGAGGTGTGAATGAAAAGTAATGTAAACAAAGATAATCTGATGTCTAAGAACTAACTCATTCAATGCTGTCCTACCAACACTGAAACACACCATTCCCCAAATAAGGAAACGCAGATGGACTGATGGTGTAAAACCATTACACAATGAAAGATTTTTCCCAGAAAATATTGCTTAAGTTGTTATATCTACATCTTGTTTCTGTTTTACAGCAAAACCAAACATAAGAACCAAGTGGTTTAAGTTTCAGGCATGTTGGTGGTATTGTGCTTAGCATCGCTGCCTTTCAAGTGGCTTAAGTTTCCCCTTTCCCCGCCTGCCCACTACAATATAATGAATACTGAATAACAGCTGGTAATAATGTGTTACAGGCTTTGCTAAAAGTTTTTTATATATAATAGTTCATTTAACTCTCACAATAACCCCATCAATTGGTAATATAATAATGTCCATTTTACAAATGTGGAAACTGAGACACAAGAGGGTAAAGAAAGTGCTTTTTCTCACTGCCTGTATCTAAGAATTGTGAATGAACTAATATACTAGAAAGCAACAGGATGACTAAAAGTTTTATTTAATCCTGAACACAAAGAAGCCAAGACAGAGTAAATATACATAGTCTACTAAGGAACGTAATGAAAATAAGTTACCTGATATAGGTGTATGCCTTTCTAAAATTTTTGTCCAGAATTGCAGCAGAGAGACCAAAGTATTCTAGTTCTCTGCGTTTTTGCCTGTCATCATAAAATGAATAATATTCCAATGAAGAATCCACAAGTAACTCAGCTTCCTGAAATCGGGATAGGTCACATAATGTGTATATTGCCTTCAACAGAAGGTTCCACCAATCATCTTTTGTCAAAACACTTGTGAGTACAGCAAATATGGCTAAAATGAGACCAGTAAAAATCAGTCAGGACTCTGAGTTTCCTAAAAAAGTAGTAACAGAATTTTTTTAAATTCAATTTTTGAAATTTCCTTTTTCTTTTCACATGTTCAATTTTAAGGTTAACTTAGTAACCAGATTCTATGGTTCTGAACTGCCCAACATTCTTCTGACAATATCAAGAAATGATAAGTGCTTGCTTATAATCCTTCCATCAACCTCCTTCTGTAATCTGTGCTTCCACGTAATTTTCATGTTTGATTTCATTTGTTTGTTCTCTAAATATTTGTTCTCTAAGAAACCCAGCTACCTCATTTTTTCAGTGCTGGATAGGAAGATACATAATCCTCCAGGGCAGACTTTTTATGAATTAGGTCAGACACAAGATTCTACACATGCAAAGCTTCAGCAAAGATCTTCTAGCTCATACTTTGGAGAGTAAGATTGTCCATGATCGTTTTATAAGCTTAATTTTTTCTCAAATTGAGAATTTCTTTTTGACAATATTCTCCCTTATTTGTTTCTAAGAAGTTTCTCTTTTTAAACCCTTGAAAAACTGCCAAAAATTACAAGTTTTTATAGTCTTTGTTTGATCCAATAAACCTTTGGGAATTAATCCTAAGTAACTCGTCAAACATCTGGATAAAAAAGCTTGCTACAGGATTTTTAACAGAAGTAACCACATATAACAATAAGGGAATTACTAAAAAAATTATAGAACTGGGGCTGGAGAGATAATATAGGGATTAAGGTGCTTGCTTTGCATGCAGCCAACCATGGGTTGATTTCTTGCACTGCATATGGTTCCCCAAGCACAGTCAGGAGTGACCACTGAGCAGAGAGTCAGGAATAAGGCCTGAGCACTGCTGGGTGTGACACAAGACCACCTTTCCCTCCTAATTATGAAAAGGCTCTCTAATGGAATATTATACATTTCTCTCATATTAGGTATAAAGAGCAACATGAAAAAATGTAAACAAAAAAGCCAGAGCACAAAATACACAATGAGAACTTGCTCATTATATCCCGGTATGCCAGTATATTGTGCTCACCACCACGATGAAATTAAACACCACCAGAAGCCTGACTCTAAGAGGAAAAAGAATAACAATGAACTCGAAATGAGGGGAAACAATACAAAATGGGCAGGAACATATGTAGAAAAATATAGGAACATATGTAGAAAAATGCAAATGGGGAGGCCAAAGCCATTGGGATGAAGCCACCTCTTCTCCTGTGTTCCTCTTCTGCATCTACTCCTTCCTTCTCACTTCTTTACTTTCTTCTTCACCCTTCCTTCATGCATCCATCTCTTCCCCACCCCCATCAAATGAGTAATTATATTTAACTGTACTTAAAAAGGTCTATTTTTAATTAGATTATGTCTTTCGGGTTGGAGTGACAGTACAGTGGGTAGAGCGTTTGCCTTGCATGTGGCCGACCCAGGTTCAATCCCCAGCACCACCAGGAGTAATTCCTGAGTGCAGAGCCAGGAGTAACCCCTGATCACCACTGGGTATGACCCAAAAAGCCAAAAAGAAAATAAAAAATGATTATGTCAGATGTTGTTTTAAGAGTCTTTTAATTTGTAGTACCAAGGATTGACCCCAGAGTCACACACATACTAGGTATGTGTTCTACCACTAAGTAATATTAAGCATCTCTTTAGATTCAGTCAGTGTTTATATTATAAAGTGGAAGTAAATACCTTTAGCATCACAATTAGCTGCCTCTTGGTCATTGTTGTCTGATATTTTGTCTCTTGATACTTTAACAAGGTAAAGATGTCTTTCTCCAGATTTGGAACTTGATATCAAACAAACCTGGGCTCTATTCATTGCTACCTGAATTAAAGATACAGTTTGAGTCTTTTTTAATCACATATTTAAAAAAAAAATCTACAGGCCAGGTTAGTACAGGTTTATCTGAAATCTCTCTCTCTCTCTCTCTCAGAATCACCGTGAGATACAGACTTACAAAGTTTCGTGATTGGGTTTCGGTCATACAATGATCGAATACCCATCCCTCCATCAGTGCTCTTCCTTCACCACCAATGTTCCCAGTATCCCTCCCTCACATCCCATCCTCCCTCCACCAGCCACCGCCTCTGTGGCAGGTATATTCCCTTTTACTCTCTCTCCTTTTGGGTGTTATGGTTTGCAATACAGGTACTAAGTGGCCATCATGTTTCGTCCATAGTCTACTTTCAGCTTGCATCTCCCATTCCAAGTGAGTCCTCCAAGCATCATTTACTTAGTGGTCCCTTATCTATTCCAGCTGCCTTTTCCTCCAGCATGTCAGGCTGGCTTCCAAGCCATGAACCTCCTGGACCTTATCTTTACTATCCTTGAGTGTTAGTCTCTCATGATGTTACTTTATATTCCACAAATGAGCGCAGTCATTCTATGTCTGTCCCTCTCTCTCTGACTCATTTAATTTAGCACAATACTCTCCATGTCGATCCACTTATATGCAAATTTCATGATTTTATCTTTTCTAACAGCTGCATAGTATTCCATTGTGTAGATGTACCAAAGTTTTTTTAACCAGTCATTTGTTCTCGGGCACTTGGGTTTTTTCCAGATTCTGGTTATTGTAAATAGTGCTACAATAAGCATAAAAGTGCAGATGTCATAGAAATGACATCTGAAATCTCTTTCATGAAGGATCAAAAAAACCCAAATTACTGTCTATACATAAAAGTAGCCTGGACAGACTTACTTTTTTCTTAGCAAAGGAATTCGTGACATGATACTCTAAATTTCATAGGAAAAACAGCAACGCATACTGATATATAACAAATCCAAAAGTACATACATATATACTTCCCTGAAAAAAGCCAAACTCAGAAAGAGTATCACATTTAGAAATTACCATTACAAGTGAAAAATTTTGGCACAAAGTACGATCTATAGGACCAATAACTCAGAATGCCACAAGTCTCACTTTCCTAAATATCTACTAACAATATCTACTATCATGTCACTTAATCTACATCCAGTTTATACTTTCAGGGAACTTTCAATTATATACTACTACTCTATAAGTTTTTCATATTTATCTGACTTTTAAACTTCTAGAAATTCTGAGTTTTAAGAGTAAAACAGTTGTAAATTATGAAGTTATTGTAAACTGAGTTGTAATCTATTTTATAACATTAAACATTTCGAATGTTAACAAAATAATAAAGAAAAAGCATCACTTACTTTTAAAAGCATGGCTAACATGGTAAGTAAGGCGTCGACATAGCCATGCATTTTGCCTTGTGAATACAGTAGAGTAGAGCGATGAAGCAGTAACTTCAATTCCTAAATAAGCACACAATCATAAGCAATGCACATTCCTTTGCCATTAATTGTTTTCTTACACAAGTTTTTTTTTGAAATCAAACATAAGAACATTTACTTTATAATTTCTCACAATAATTAAGACCTATTATATTAGATACTATAATTTCTACTTGTAATGTCTAATGAATGGCTAAATTTTAATACCCAAAATGACTGGTCCTAAACACTGCATTTAATATACTAACATAAAACTTTTCAATATATGCTGTAGTCATCCCTAATTAAGGGAATTAAAAAATTTTACCCACCAATAGATAACTTCCTTTTGTGTTCCATGGCTTACCTGCTGTGCTGCATTGGCATCTTGTGCTAAAGTATCTGGATCATACATTGGTTCCAGAGCTTCCAGAGCTTTTTCAGGACGGCCCAACTGCTGCTGAAGAGTGGAGAGTGAAATCCTTGCATCCAAGTGAAGGGGGGCCAAATCAACCACTTTGGCATAGCTTTCGGCGGCACGGTCCATATAGCCTAATGCCTTTAAACATTCTAAAATGATGTTAAAATAAAGCATGAATAATTCCTACAAACTTGGAAGCTGGCTAATTTTTTTCTCCATTTTTAAGGAGTATTAAAATAGTATTTCTAGAATTTTGAAACACAATTGCTCCAACTAAATGCAAATTGTTACAAAATATATACAAACAAACCCTGTTTTTTGTTTTGGGGCCACACCCTGCAGTGGTTAGTGCTTACTCTTCAGTCTGTGTGCAAGGATCATCCTGGCAGGGCCCAGGGACCATACAGGGTGACACAGACTGAACTGGGTACACCCGTGCAAGGCAAGTGCCCACCATCATGGATTACTACTCCAGTCCTGTAAACTGGAGTTTTCATTTATTCACTGAGCATACTACTTTATATTTGTCATGACTAGCATTCTGAATCATTGTAACATTCAAATTACTTAATCTACTCTAGTACGTTATATGGCTAATGTCCATATTAAAAATCCCTTTAACAGTTGGGATGGACCACTAAGTAAATGACGACTGGAGGGATCATATGGGATGGGAGATACATGATGAAAGTAGCCAAGGACCAAACATGATGGCCTCTTAGTATCTGCATTGCAAACCATTAACGCCAAAAATTAGAGAGAGAGAGAGAAAGAGGCAGTGGCTGGGATGGGGTGGGGGGCAGCAGGAAGGACATTGGGAACAATGGTGGTGGAAATGTGCACTGGTGGAGGGATGGGTGCTTGATTGTTGTATGACTGAAGTGTAATCATCAAAGTTTGTAACTGTATCTCACAATAATCCAATAAAATTTTTTTTAAAAATCCCTTTAAGAATGCCCTGCCATAGAGGTGGTGCAGGGTGGGCACTGGTGGAGGGATGGATACTTGATCATTGTATAACTGAAACCCAAACACAAAAATATGTAAGTCTACAACTGTACCTCATGGTGTTTCACTAATAAAAAAAAATCCCTTTAAAAACAACAAATTGTCTACATTAAAAACAATTCAGGGAGGCTGGAGCGATAGTACAGCGGGTAGGGCATTTGCCTTACAGCCGACCTGGGATCAATACCCAGCATCCCATATGGTTCCTCAAGCACTACTAGGAGTAATTCCTGAGTGCAAAGCCAGGAGTAACCCCTGAGCATTGCTGGATGTGACCCAAAAAGCACTGTAGCACTGTCCTCCCATTGTTCATTGATTTGCTCGATCGGGCACCAGTAACGCCTCCATTGTGAGACTTATTGTTACTGTTTTTGGCATACTGAATACGCCATAGGGAGTTTGCCAGGCTCTGCTGTGAGGGCGGGATACTCTCGGCATCTTGCCGGGCTCTCCAAGAGGGACGGAGGAATCGAACCTGGGTCAGCTGCGTGCAACGCAAACGTGCTATGACTCCAGCCCCCAAAAGAAAAAAAAAATTCAGGATTTCCGTAAAACCCAGATTATTGGGTTCTTTTAGGAAATATGGATTTGGCAAACGAGGGTCCCTACTCCTCTGCAGCAGCACCCTTCAGTAAAGCTCTCTAATTCTCACCTTCACAATCTTTCCATTTGCCTAAATTGACCATTTTGTTAAACAGCCAGGCTCCTAAGTCTTGTGATCATATCAACTATTCAGTATCAACTACTTCCTCTCACCTTGCTCGCTGAATTATTTTTTTTTGGATGTGTTCTCAGAAGTGAGATTATACTTCTATTCCACAAACTATACCAATTAATCACTAAGTTCTGTCATCTGAACTACTGAAAACAGCACTTCTTCATCCTTCCTGGCACCCATACTAACCTATGCCCTCTTCATTCCTTTCCTTTTTCACTTAAATTATCTCCTAAAAAGTAACTCTGCCTCCAAAAGCACTGTTACATCTTTCGATTGTAATCTTTAAATTAAACCTGGATAACCAAGGGAGATTACGCACATCACAATGGCACTTTTCATAATGTTTTATTTTTTACTTTAAGGGTGTTTTTGTTATTTTGATAAGCATCAACTCTCTTTAATGACTTTTCCTATATACTGATTTCAAAATTTTTTAATTATTTTGATTTATGATTCTAAGGTTTTATATTCCACTGATCTTCAGCTAGAGGCTCAAAATGGAAACTGTATTTATCAGAATCATGATTATAATCAAAGAATATTTGTAATTCATCTGTTAGTATCAACAGTTTAATTTCACAGTCTTACGAAGATAACTCTCTGCTCATGTCTGGTTTTTCTGTTTGGGTTTTTTTTGTTTTTGTTTTTTTGCAATACCAGGAACCAAACTCAGGGGCCTTATAAATGCAAGATGACTGCACTACCAATGAGCTATGCTAGCCCTCTGCTCATGTGCTCGTCTTTAAAACTAGCTAAAAAGGGTACTTGCCCTGCATGTAGCTGACCCAGATTTGATCCCTGGCACTCCAAATGGTCTCCTGAGTCTCCTGAGGGCAAAGCCAGCAGGAAGCTCTAAGCATGCCAGGTGAAACCCAAAACAAACAAACAAGCATACCAAATATACCCTTCTATGGTGGTATTACATTTACATTCATGTTCTCTTCCAAATAATTATAATCTTAATCATTGTTCTTGTTTTATTTTGGGTGGATGTTCAGAGTTTACTAATAGCTCTGCACTCAAGAATAACTCCTAGGAGTAATTCAGTGCCAGGGACCATATGGGATTGAAATGGATTGGCCAACACAAGGCAAGTTCCCTACCCACTGTACTATCTCTCCAGCCCCCTGTGATTTTTTTTTTGGGTCTGGTTGGTTGTCTTTTTGTTTCAGGGACATATCAGGACTTCCTCCTGGTTATGAGTTCAGGGCTTAATGGACTATATATGGTGCTGGGAACAGAAGACCAGTCAACTGCATGCGAGGCAAGCACCTTACATACTGTACAATTACTCCAGCACCAATCTTTTTTTTGTTTAATTGAATCACAATGAGATACAGTTACAAAGCTTTCATGATTGAGTTTCAGTCATACAATGATCGAACAAACACCCATCCCTCTACCAGTAGGAATTTTCTACCACCGATGTCCCCAGTATTCCTCCCACCACTCCTACCCCATTCCACCCCCTGCTTTTGTGGCAGGCACCTTCCTTCTTACTCTCTACTTTTGGGCACCATGGTTTGCAATACAGATACTGAGAGGCCATCATGTTTGGTCTTTATTTACTTTCAGCACACATCTTCCATCCCAAATGCCTTCTCCCCCAGCTCATGAGGCAGGCTTTCAAACTGCAGAGTAATCCTCCTGGCCTGTCTCTACTGTTCTTGGGCCAGCACCAATCTTAATCATTAAATGTTCTTTCTCTTTGGTATCTCTGTATCACTATCACTATCACCCTGATGTTCATCAATTTGCTAGAGCAGGCACCAGTAACGTCTCCATTCATCCCTGTCACGTGCTAGTGTAGCCCAATGGCATATTGGGGGCTCTTTCAGGGTCAGGGTCACACATATATGCCTGACTGGGAGCACCTGTAAAGATGATTAGAGGCTGCCCCAAAAGCTTCCATCTCTCTCAGAGATGCCGGCAAGCTACGGAGAGTATCCCACCCACATGGTAGAACTTGGCAAGCTACCTGTGGTGTACTCGATATGCCAAAAACAGTAACATCTCTGTAGTATCTCCCCCAAATACCCTGAGCTTCTTTAGTTATACAAAAATGTCTGATGTTAGATTTTAAGAGATATTAGAACATTTTGTCATCAATGTCGTAAGAAAAAAATAATCAAATTTTAAAACATCTGTGATAATGATTCAATAGAAAATTCTATTAAGACATTTTTGATTTTCATCTATTTCCTTAATTTTTAAGTTTTTATTCTAGATGATTGATTTCACATTTGTGTTGATGTTGATACAATAAAATAAAATGACAAATAAAGATGAAACCCTATCTTTAATATCTTTGTGGATCAGAAAAACATATTTTTCTCCTCAAAACAGCAAAGTAAAATGAAATCTTTAAAACTCTTCAAATGAAGTTATATACAAATCTGATAATTACCTTTAACCAAAGTCTAAGTAAAGACAGGTGAAGAAAGATATTTATAAAATTTTTAACAGGGACAAGGTCTTTTACTTCAGCACCATAATGCGAATCATTTCTCCAAAGCATTTGAGACTCAAATCACCTACTGGTGCATCAATTAAAAATAAGGACTCTTTGAAAACTGTCCTGAAACCAGAAATACTTTCACTAGGTTTCTAATATATTTTAAAAATGTATTCTCTGTTCAGATAACACTTGTTACAAACTATAAATGTTCCTGTATTTGAAGGGTGCAATACTGCCACATCATACCTACCACCAAAGTCACAATATCCCCAACCTAAGTAGAATAGTAGTATTTTATAATTATAAAACTTCTCTTTCCTACAAAAAAAAAATTACCTGCATGTCTAAGCCAAACTACTGCGAGGTTGTATCTTTCAGAGCAGACTAATGCACTAAGAAGGGGAAGTGCTGCATTATATTCACCAACATCCAGAAAAGCTTCAGCGACATCTAAATAGAGGTCTCCCATATCTTCGGGGTTCTGTTCCACCAGTGTGGTCAAGAGAGGCTAGACCCCAAAGTAGAAGAGCAAAGTCAAACATTCATTACAAATTGCACATCTCTATATTTCTTAGAAAAAAAAGTTATCGGATGCAAGGCTTAATAAAACAAGCTTTAAATAATCACTTTTTATTCATTTCTATGTCTCTACTGAACCCTTAGTTTTATCATTTACACATTCATTCATTATTTCTGAGGCCCTGTGAAAAGCAGGTATTACAAGTATTAAAACATCTAACCTACTGTTCCCTCAGATGCTAGGGAGCAAACGCCTGGCAGCACTGGGGACTGAACTCAGCGCCTTCCACATGCTCTGCTTGTGCTCTATCACTTGACCTCCTTAACCCTTAAGGAGGACTTTTCTGGACACTTAAATTTTGTTATTACAGTTTTGGTCAGAAGATTTTATAAGAGTATTAAAGTTTATGGCACTGTTGTAAAAAGTCACTGCACCACACCACAACCAATGTAGCTAAACCCTCCACCATTACCATGCGTCTCTAGTAGGATCTTTAGTCTCCCTGCCTCCACCAAGCCTCCACTGCTTGGTAATCAGTTTTGTAATTGAAAACTAAGAGTTTGTTATTGATCCATAATGTTTATTCCCTCCTCTGTCTATACTTCACAAATAAGTGAGATCATCCAGTTTGTCTTCCTAACTACTTATTTCAGTTGATATTCAGTTCCATCCATATTGCAAACAGCATGACTATATCTTACAGCTGCTTAATATTCCATATATATATACACATACATACACACATACCATTACACACACACACACACACACACACACACACACACACACACAAGTTATATAACTGAAGGAGTTACATAATTACAACTTCTATATCCATTCATCTTTCATTTGAAATTTGGATTGCTTCCATAGCCTGGCACAGACATACATATATATTTTCAAATTAATGTTTCAAATAGCAAGAACCAAAGAGAGAGATTCCTTAAAGCAACAAGGGAGAAGTAGTCTCAAATACAAAGGAAATAATATTAAGATTTCTCAAACAAAACTCTAAATGCAAGAAGAGAATGGAATGATATATTCCATGTACTGAATGAAAAGAACCTGCAACAAGAATCCTCTACACTGCAGGTTATCACACAGATGAGAGTGTCAAAAACATTCTATTTTAAATAGCAACTCCTTTGCCTCTCAATATTCTCTATTCTTCCAGTATGATTTTCTCCAGAGCATGATAGCCAACTAATTTATATTTTACAGAATTTACATAGTAGTTATATAATCCCACCAGAAGATATGAGAAGAAAATTACACATTTTATATAATACCTTAGTGTAAGATTTACAATGTAGAAGCCCAATAGATTATTTTTTTATTCAATGAGATACATAGTCAGAATTCAGCAAAAGAGAACAACTATCAAAACTATTACCAACTCTTAAAAAGACTCAACATCAAATTATGATCTCTGGAAAGAGGATCTCTGGAGAGAGGTTATTTTAGAAGAAAATTACTAAAAGCCATCCTCCAAAAGTCTTTTAGTCCTTATTCACACAAAAATTATTTGATGCTTATTGTGACTTCCTGGTTAATAAAAAATATGAAATGCAAGATACTCTTAGAATTCTATGAAGAAACATTTTAGATTTTACCTGAAATATCTTACAAATACATATTTGAGGCATGGAGGTGAGGCAAACCAGAAATGCTCAGAGGATATTTTACACTCTAACCTTTGAGCCATCCTTTCGGCCATTGAGTACAAATCTTGAAGTTACTTACATTAAGTGGTTCAAGGATGTTGAGATGTACCAGGCAGACCATCAACTTCACTGTGATATCTATTGGCACACCATCAGGTATAGTGCAAGTAACAATCTCATCAGCTATAGAACAGACAACAAGAAGCTTAAACATAAGGGAAATGAAGCAAATTGTATTTTCTAAGTAAGATCTCATTTATTAACTTCATTCAAAGTAAATAACACCATAATCAATTTTAAGTTTGGCCAAGACTATCAATGGGTTCTTATTCTCCCTTCGGCTTATCTTTGGTAGCAATTATACTTCACCATCTTTTCCTAGTATTTTATTTGCTACCCAAAACCTAAAGAAACTCCCATCAGATGTGTGCTGAAAGTAGATAATGGACCAAACATGACGACCTTTCAGTGTCTGTAATGCAAACCATAATGCCCAAAAGTAGAGAGAGTATGGGGAATATTATCTGCCACGGAGGCAGAGGGAGGGTGGGGAAGGGGGGGTATACTGGGGAGATTGGTGGTGGGAATGTGCACTGGTGGAGGGATGGGTGTTTGATCATTGTGTGACTATAACCCAAACATGAAAGCTTGTAACTATCTCACAACGACTCAATAAAATTTTAAGAAAGCGGGGGGGGGGGGGGGGGAGAAAAGAAACTCTCATTATTTACATAGAAACTAAAGAGAACTGAAAAGACTAAAAACGTAAAAAAAAACCCACAGGGATGTTTCTACTTTTTTTTTTTTTTGCTTTATGGGTAACACCCAGCAGTACTCTGTGGTTACTCCTGGTTCTGTACTCAGGAATTACTCCTGGCGGTACTTGGGGGACCATATGGAATTCCGGGGATTGAACCCGGGTCAGCTGCATGCGAGGCAAATGCCCTACCCGCTGTACTATCCCTCCAGTCCCACAAATGTTCTTTCTTGAATTCAAAGCCTCTTCTCTGTCTTCAGTGCAAATTGGTAATGGAAAAATAATACCAGGACTTTTTGTTTGCTTTTTGTAGGAATCTCGCCAGCAGTACTTGAGGGCCCGCTAGCCAATCCTAGCAATATTTGGTCAGTAATGCAAGCCAACTGGTTCAGTGTAGGGCCTAATGGTACAGCACTACTCAGCACTACTCCATAACAACAAAGATCTACCTACAAGACTCAAGTTTATATCCATAGCAATTTCTTCTGTAGACAATAGCAATTGTGAAACTATTACAGAGAATGAATATTTAAATTAAAAAAATTTATTTCAGATCAAGTCACAAAGTAAAAGTAAAAAATCAACCTTATGTTGAAGATAATACACAAGCCTAAAACCATGTAACTCAAGAGGGTTGAAATAAAATAGCAAACAGCAGGCAAAATACAATAAAGATAAAAAGTAGAAGCCATAAACTCACTATCAAACAAAGAATAAGAAAGGTCAACTATATTTTAAAGAGATAAAGGTACTGAGTGCTTTAGGGACAGTCAAAGGGCAGACTCACACCTGATGCAGTAACTAGCTGAATCAGGTAAATACTGACCCTGCGTATGTAAAATGGCACTGTAAAATGGTCCGTTGTAAAATGGCGATTATACAATGTTAAAGATAGCATACACTATTTAGAACTCCAACATCTAAAATAATGCCTTAATAATAAGAGTTAACAGCAGTACCTTTTACAAAGCTGCTTTTGGGCTACTAACACTTTCAAAAGATCAATTTTCATTACTTAAGCAATCAAAAATTTTGTTAAATCAAGGAGCCTTAGTAATATATTTAATTTGATAGCTATTTAACTGCCTATAATGGATTATGCTGTGAGTGAATTATAAAGTAATATGGTCCTAAAGACTAGGAAGGCTGGGGCTGGAGCCATAGCACATCGGGTAGGGTGTTTGTCTTGCACGTGGTCGACATGGGTTCGATTTCCAGCATCTCATATGGTCCCCTGAGCATCGCCAGGGGTAATTCCTAAGTGCAGAGCCAGGAATAACCCCTGTGCATCGTTGGGTGTGACCCGCAAAAAAAAAAAAAAAGACTAGGAAGGCTATGTTTTTCCCAATAATAATTCCTCCATTAAGAGACTGAATATGAATATGTTAGTAGCCAGAGAATAAAAAGTGAGGAGGAAAATAGCAAATATGACAACAATGAAGAATAAAGTTTTTTTCCTGTAACACATAGCTGAAAATGGCAGTGATAAGTCAAATGACTTATGGCATTATAATTAAAGGGATCATTATAAAACAACCATCTTTGCTCACTTTGCAATTTATGTAATCTTCTGGACCTATCTTTTTCTTCAGTTATTTCATAAACCCTTAGTTTGCCATAAATTTTAGATACACTTTTATTGTATATAATAAAGAAAAATACCAATTCTTAAAACATTAACTATTCTCTTATTTCTGATACATAAAATGAAAAGACTATCTACACTAAAATTTGAATATCATCCGTATTCAATATTTTCTGAAACAAACACAGCAATAGTCTCCAACACAGATATATTTTAGAAGATCTAAATAGAATTATCCTTCAAAGTAACAATTTTAGAATCAGCTCTAAACTAGATCCAGGAAAAGCGCCAGAAATCTGCAGTCCTTCAAGTGCCCTAAACCATGCAATAGGACCATTACAATTCCAACTCTTTCTGCTTATGCTAATCACTTAAAATTCCTACCCAAAGTTCCCTGTTTCTATCCCCAGCAAGCAGTATTCCCATGTGCTGAGACCTCATCCTAAAATGACTTCATCTCTTGATCCTAGCACAATGTCCTCTCTTCTCCCACACTTCCAGTTTCATTAAGAAATGATCACATAGCTCTTCTTGCTAGTTGAATTATATAAACTTCATTTTGAAGCCCTACTTGCTTGAAGGTGGGAAATGTCACACTCTTCTTTCTGTATATTCCCAACACATTGAGTATAGAACTTAGTACAAAAATTTTATTGAATTGGGCTTTTCATTCCCCCTAGCAAGTTCAAAGTTTATTTTTCCCATATCTCATTTTGGACTTACTCTACAAGAAATCAGCACACAATGATTGACAAAAATAATTTCTTTCTATTAGGATGCATCATTTAAATAAAACAGTCTTCTGCTTTGTATTTTTTTTAAAGCAATTATGCCTTAACCCAAAAGATTTAATAAAATATGAACATTTTAGGGATCATGAGATGTCAGGGAGTGAAATATTTTGAACCAAGAATAACTCAGTACAAGTTTCTCCTCTAGTACCCCTACCACCATTAAGAGTCTCATGAGGTAGGAATGGTATGTACTAAAATAAATTTTCTTCAAACAGGGACATCCATTCTGATCATGAGATCCATAAATATTTTCAGGGAACATGTTAGTAGATATGGCACAAAGAAAACTGGTGAGTGTAGTAGGGATGGAGTTGAAAACTGAAACCACAAGTCACACTCCAGGTATGAGTTCCTAAACTAAGCACAGTGCAAGTTGTCAAACAACAGAAGGTACTAAGATTTATTTCTATTATTTATATGGATGTTTAAATTGAAACAAAAATTTTTTAATGTCACTGTCACTGTCCTCCCGTTGCTCATCGATTTGCTCGAGCGGGCCCAGTAACGTCTCCATTGGAGACTTTGTTGTTACTTTGTTTGGCATATCGAATACGTCACGGGGAGCTTGCCAGGCCCTGCCGTGGGGGCGAGATACTCTCGGTAGCTTGCCGGGCTCTCCGAGAGGGGCGGAGGAATCGAACTCGGGTTGGCCATGTTGGCTGCGTGCAAGGCAAACGCACTACCCGCTGTGCTATCGCTCCAGCCCCACTGATTAAGCCACTGATTAAGCTGTGAAACAATGTTTTTAATAAGAGTACTTTTAGTAATTTTTGAAAAGCAAATTGATTTAATTGAAAGATCTCTCATAAAGCATGTGTTTTAATTAAAAGATCTCTCATAAAGCATGTGTTTAGTAATCCATTCTTTGTTTCATATAGCACTAAAAACAACCCTGAGCTAATGAGATATGCCAAGTTCATCTGGACTTACTGATAAATCAAAGGCTCTGTAAACAGTTCTCTCGTAGGTTATTTTTGAGTAAATAGTCAGGAAAAAAAAATCTTACTAAAGTAAAAGTGCTTCTGTGAAACTTGCTATAACATTAACTATCAACTTCAGTATGCTACAGTATGATCGAGAGAATTATATATGCTTTACTATGCTGAGAAAAACTACCTTTATTCTCCTCTAGAAAGCTTTCTTCTGTAGATTTTTTTTCCAGCACGATACCAGAAAAGTCTGTAATTACCTAAAAAGGAGGGGAAACAAAGAAAATGACATAAGAAGTACACATGAAAACCTTCTAAAAATACAAAATTTTAAATTGTAAAGTTAATTCAAATAATCCTTACAACATAGAAATAGGCTATAAAAAAGCAAGGCTTTAAGAATAAAATGCCACTGTGATACAGTGACATTTTTTTGTTTTTGTTTTAGGGCCACATTCAGGAGTGCTCAGGGCCTACTCCTTGCTCCGTGTTTAGGAATCAATCCTGGCTGGCTCAAGGGACGTCCTGGGATGCCAGGAATCAAATCTAGGTCTGCTGAGTGCAAGAAAAGTGCTCTATTCGCTGTACGATTTCTCCAGCCCCTACACTTTTTGTATCATATTAACTAATGTTTAAAGAAACACAATTCCGCTGCATAAAATCATCCTCTTTCCCCAACAATTTAGTAATTAAATCAAAGCCACTTAGTAAGCTATACTAAAGGACAGACATTCTTTTTTTTATTATTTTTTATTTAATTTTAATTTATAAGGTAGTTCATATTATTTGATTACATTTAATATTCAAACACCAATCCCATCACCGTTACACCTTCCCAACCACCATATTTGGGGTGTTTCCATCCCAAGCCCTGATCCCTGTTCCAAAGCACAACCAAAATGATGTATTTTATATTGTTATGAAAAACTGCTGAAAATGCTACAAAAAAATATCCATAGAGGAAATAGTGTGAAGACTGTTCTATTTTGGCAGGGGCCATTAAGACCTTCTTTAGGATATCACAAACATGTTGTTTAAGATTGAGTGATGTGAACTTTCATATATATATACCTAAGTGTGTGTATATATATACACACACACATATATATATATTCAAGAGGGAATGTATATAAATTTCCCTCTATGATTGGTTGCTTACTATTGAACCCCATCAAATGTGGTGTAGTACTCTTGGAGAATAGATAGGGAGTGTCTTATGAGGGACAGACATTTCTTTTGTTGTGATAACTATACTTTATATTTTATAGAATTACTATAGAATCTAAAAATGTTTTCATACAGAATTTAATTTAACATAAAGCAATATATATAGAAATGAGGAATTTTAATTTTTGAGAATTTTCTAGACACAGAAAAATGTTGAGAATCTAAGAGCATTCCTACCTCCAAAGCTTTGTCATACTGTTTGTTAGAAATGTATAGCTCAGCTGCTATGTTAACATCTTCCTTGGAGACTAGGCCCTGGTGTTTAGAGAAAGCTTCTTCAATTATGTTAATAGCTGACGTAACATCATTGGCTTCATAATAACTCCTAAAAAAATAAATTGCAAAATAAATATTTAATTCAGACTATAAAATTCATTGCCATGCTTAAGCTCATGATTATTTTAATATTTTTTTTTAATTTGGAAAGAGAAATTGGAGCTGGGATTGAGGTTGTGACAGAGGGAAGATTTTGCATGAATGAGCCCCTGAGTATGACCCTCTGCATGGTGGGTGGGAGGGTTGAAGTGGGGCAACAGAAGAACCACAATTCAGTTTGGACTGGAGGAATAGCACAGTGGCTTAAAGCACCAGTAGAGCAAGCACACTCAAAGAGCATAAATCTCTGGGTCACACATGCAGTCTTGACAACTCTGCTATTCGTGATTCTTGGCTGCACTACAGCCAAGTGTAGCTCCACAAAGAGGTGTATGACCCCTAGACAGCACTGCAACTATAAACATTTGCAGTTATAAACATCTGCAAGTTCCATGGTTAGGAACTGCAATCCTGGCAAGCATGTGTGAGCACTACAGAGAGCCCTGGCATAACGACACCCATAACTTGTGTGCCTGAACAGTATGATTCCTGGTGTTCAAGGACCATAACTAAGGGAGTACAAGCTTTGGTAAGCATCACAGTCAAATACGTAAACACCACAATCTGAAATTGGCAAGAACCATAGCTGAAAATGCCAGCACCACAGTCAGATTTGTGTGCAAGCCCCAGTCATTACAACAAAAATAACAAAAAAGAAAAGTGGGGTGGTGGGGTGAAGGGAGGAAATGATCCAGTGGATATTGTGCAGTATCATAATGTCAAGCATTTCACATTCCAAAAACTACCTCCCCTAACGCAACACCAGCAATTCTTCTACGTCAGTGGAATCTATGAAGCACTGACCCTGCCACATTTTTAGTCTCTGAACATTTTCTGTCCTCACTTGCCTTCTCCATGGCCCAGCACTATAATCACTACCAAGCAACAATCAATTCTCCTTTCCTTATTTCCCTTTATGAAAAATCATCTGCGTGATAAAACCTGTTCCTGGATAATCCAAATAAGCCTACTCTTCCTTGTCACCTGGCCCAGCTATCCATACTAACTATAGAGTTACTCTAGAATATAAAGTATACCACAAGACAATACTTAGGTTACTTTGTTTTTCTGTCCAAGAAGACATATGAGAATTATGAGAGAAGTAAGTGCAGTAGGGCATATATTTATATAAAAATATAATGCATTTGGGCTGGACAGATAGTACAGTGGGTAGGGCACTTGCCTTGTAGGTTCGATCCCTGGCATTCCATATGGTCCTGCATGCAACCCCAGGAGTAATTCCTGAGAGCAGACCCAAGAGGAACCCCTGAGCATCACTGGGTGTGGTCCCAAAAGCAAAAATTAAATTAAAATTTTAAAAAATATATAATGCATTAGGGTCAAAGGCTTAGTATAGCAGGTAGGGCATTTGATGCCTGGGATTGATCCCTGACATCCCATATAATTCCCAAAGTACTGCCAGAAGTAATTCCTGAATTCCCGAGTGTAGAGCCAGGAATAACTCCTGAGCACCACTGGGTGTGGTACAAAAAACTCACTATATTGAGAAATATATAATGCATCAGCATGTGCCAACTATAAAGAAAAAATTTTGTCTTAAAAATGTTAATACTGGCTGAGTATGGACGATTCTCAAAAAATTAGAAATTGAGCTCCCATTTGACCCAGCAATACCACTCCTGGGAATATATCCCAGAGAGGCAAAAATGTATAGTCGAAGTGACATCTGCACTTGTTTGTTCATTGCAGCACTCTTTACAATAGCCAGAAACTGGAAGAAACCTGAATGCCCACGAACAGATGACTGGTTAAAGAAACTTTGGTACATCTACACAATGGAGTACTATGTAGCTGTTAGAAAAGATGAAGTCATGAAATTTACATACAAGTGGTACAATATGGAAAGTATCATGCTAAGCGAAATGAGTCAGAAAGAGAGGGATAGACATAGAAAGATTGCATTCATCTGGGGGATATAAAGTAACAAAGTATGAGATTAATACCCAAGAATAGCTGAGATCAGCACCAGGAGGATTACTCCATAACTTAGAGGCCAGCCGGGTATTCTAGGGGAAAGGGCAGTTCAGATAGAGAAGGGAGCACCAAATAAAGGGTGTTTGGAGGATCCTCCCAGGAGGGGAGATGCACGTCGAAAGTAGACTATGGACTGAACACGTTTGCCACTCAATTCCTCTTTTGCAGACCACAACACCCAAAAGGAGAGAGAGATCACAGGGGATTGCCCTGCCACAGAGGCAGGGGGGGATGGGGGGATGGGGGTGGGGGGGATATTATCCATGGTGGTGGAAAATGGGCACTGGTGGAGGGATGGGTATCTGATCATTGTATAATTGAAACCAAAGCACAAAAAATTGTAAATCTACAACTGAAAAAAAAAAATAAAATAAAATAAAGGGAAAAAAATGTTAATACTGGCTGAAGGTAAAAAGATTATAGGAACTCCTAGATCACAAACATTTCATTAACACATCTTCAATAAATTTAAAATATTATAAACTTCATGACAGGGATACGGCATAGTGGCAAAGCATACAACTTGCATGCATAAGATCTGGGTCAATACCTGGTACTAGAGAGAGAACGAAAGAAGGAAGGGAAGAAGGAGGGAGGAAATCTCTATGTTTAAGCACAATATAAAATACAAAATACTTTCTTGAACTGCAGCACAAACTATATTCATATCATTCCAAGCTTACTTTGCCATTTCTCTAGCTAACTGCATAAAACGTTCTCCATCAGTGGGAGCCAAAAGGTTTAAAGTTCGCCTATAACCATCCATTGCCATTTTATGATCTCCCATCTGTTCATAAAGGCTTGATCGCTCCCACAGAAAATGGACATTAGTAGGTTCAGATTTAAGAGCTAAAAAAGAAAAAGAAATATAAATTATGAATGAATTGATAATGAAAAGGGGTCCATGGTATCTGGGTATCACATATTTGTTTTTTAGGAAATTTAATACACACTCTAATTTAAGTCTTTAATGGAATCAAGAGAGTTAAATCCATCTTCACAGAAAGTCTGAACTAGGCTAGATCCAGTATCAGATATGCTATGAAACTCCATTATTAGTCACTCCTCAAGAAATAGCTTAGAATTATCGTTAATTAAGGAGAAAACTAAACGTACTGTTTCTCTACCAACTCTATGATGTATTAATTTACAATATAAATGAGATTACTAATAAATATCAACCAGAGAGGAACCATAAATACATGTCAGATATAATAAAATATTATGTATTTCAGATTAACCAACATACCACAGATTACCAGTTACAATTATCAAAAAAGAAAAAAACCTATTATATGTAACATTTTTAACCAAACAAATATGGTAAAAATATTTTAATTACCTTTCGTATAGCAGAAAATAGCTTGCTTAATATTGTCTTGTTCCATAGACATTTCGGCCAATCTAACCCATTTTTCTGTGTCACTGGGATTTAAATGTGCAGCAATCAACTCAAATTGCAGTGATTTCTCCATGTCACCTTGGTCCTCATAGAGCACAGCAAGAGTAGAGAATGGCTCATAAGCCAGAGGAGCTATAACAAAAAAACACATTTAGAAAAGTGGCTGAGCTAAATGTCAAACATGGATTCAACTGTTTTATTCTCTAACTCTAACAAAGCAACACAAATATGTGAAATTTAGAAAAGATACTAGACCATATGCTTTTAATTTGGACACTCCATAATTTTGGCATTGAAAAAAGCATTCTTTTCCCAAAATATTACTCATGAAATACTTTGGGAAAAACATGAAAATACTTTGGGAAAACTCATGAAAAACAAAACCCTACTCTCTACCATATCCCCTTTACAAAAAGATGGCTTTTGTTAAGGCTAACCATAGCTGAATAACTGAGCAAATTTAACCCAATAGGCATCAGCCACATGGGTGGAGTTGATGCTTCATGGCTGAAGTATGAAATGAATGGGTAGAGGTCACCAAAGCAGGAAGTTAGGTGAATATTTAATTTCACACAGATGAAACAATGTTCCAAAATAAAGTTCTTAGATTATGATATATTTTTAAAAACTGTCAAAAAATTATAAACTGACATATGGAAGCAGATTAAGATTGGAAAGTAGATGCTAAGCAAAACATCCCACAGAAAAGTTTAGTCAATTTTATTCCTGAAAAGATGAAAAAGAAAAATGAGAGCTCTCAATTACCCTGATGAATAACCCAAGAAAGTCCTCTTTTTCAATATTCTATATTTGGAAATGAATGCCAGAATGTTTACAGGATAAATAAAAAAACTCAGTAATTAAAACTACACAGATCACTATCTAGGGTATCATTTAGTAACACACCAGAAAAGATTATACATATAACTACATTTGAGTTACGAATTACTGGTCACAATCACCTCTGAAGATATATTTCACCTGCCCTAAACCTCAGAGTGTTAAAAAAAAATAAGCAAAAATTATGTCACCAAAACACTGGCTTAAAACAATCTACTTGATTAGAAAAATCGGGGAGGGGGGGAGGGAGGAAGCAGGGAGGGGGAAAGAATTTCACCTTCAAGTGATTTTAACAATACATATTTGCCACATTTAAAAAGATGGGCTGGGGAGATAGTTCAAGTGGTGAAGCACCTGCCTGACTTTAATCCCTGGTAATCACATGGCCTCTAAGCACCACCAGGGGCGACCCCAAAATGTTCTAAAACAAAAAGACAGGCACGGGGCTGGAGCAACAGTACAGCGGGTAGAGCGTTTGCCATGCATGTGGCTAACCTGGGTATCCCATGGGGTCCCCCAAGCACTGCCAGGAGTGCAGAGCCTGAGTATAACCGGATGTGACCCAAAAAGACAGACAATACAAAAATTTTAAATCCCTAAAGTAAACCAATTGGGGAGAGGGGGGAGAGAAAAGCAAATAAAAGACCAGGGATGTGGTTCAAGTGGTAGGGCACATGCTTTGTAAGTGTGAAGCACTGGGATGATGCTTGGCAGGCACCACAGGGTCCCCCAAACGTTGCTGAAAATGTTCCCTCAAGTAAATATACAAACAAGCAAATAAAAACATGGGAACAGACTAAAGAGTTCAGTAAATATCAAATATAATTTGATTTTTATTTTCTTGATAACAACTACTTAAGGAAAGTAGGCAATCACTGTTGTCACAACCACTTCTAACTGAACGTGTTTCCCATATAGCAGTTAGTGCTTCTCCATTTGTTGGAAAAGTCAGATGATTAAGCTATCACCATAGTTCACAAAGAAAATACCTTGTCTTATAATTTCCATGCACATTAATATTGCCTCTTCATGTTCTCCTCGAGCAAAGCGAATGTTGGCTTCACCCATAAGACCTCTCAGAGCCCTGGGTAGTTTACTCCGAGGCCTTTTTTCCTGTATAGAATGAAAAAAAATTCAGATTAAAATATAATAATGTTTTAAATTTTAGTTCCAACCACATTAATATGGACCATAATGATACTGAAATTTTTCTTTAAAAAAATTTTTCTTGCTACAGTAGAAAGCTCAAAGCATAGTAAAATACACCAAGAAAGCAAATTCTAAAATTGTCAGGAATTACTAAATTGCTAATCAGAATAAAAATCAATGTGGCAATAAATGCTGCAATATGGAATGCTATTCTAAGAGACTTAATCTAACTTATTGAACACCCTCCTATTTCAAATTTATCTATCAAAAAAATCTACCTAGAATGAATGGAGCCTTCTAAGTTTGAAGCTGCAAGTTCCATTCTTGGTATCACCCCATACACATAAAGCAGGAATCCAGTAATACTATTATTTGGGATTCCCAGCACCACAATGGAGTAGTACTCTGGTATTCCATAACCACGTGTGTGCAAGCTGCTCAAGTGTGTGAGTGAGCACACAAGTGAGTGTGGCAGCTAAACACACCATCTGAGCACTGCAACCCAAATGTACATGGCACTGTAACAAGTGCACGTCCCTCAGTAAGCAGGTATGCAAGACTCCAACCTCCAAAGAGCATTACGAAGCCTGGCAAGCACCACAACAAAGTGTGCAGGCACAGCAAACGATTATGTGCAACCAACATCACCGAAAAAAAAGGAAGAGAGGGGGAATAAATAAAACAATAAAAAAGAAAGAAATGCTTTGACTAAAAAATTCTGTGTCAGGGATGTGGTTCAGAGGTAAATAACCTGACCTCCATGCATGAGGCCCTGGGGTTTGATCCCTGCTAGTGCACCACTACCTCCTGCCGCCTCAACTCCAGACACCGAAATAAAGTTATAATACAGACATTTTAACAATAAAACTATAGTAAAATTTGATATACTAAGTGAAGGCTTATACTAAGTAAATCTCTAAAATGAGACAGAAGAAACAGTAACAGTAGAGGTTTCATAGTATTTCCTAATGGCTTAATTTCTTTTGAGTGTTTTACTTCACAATTAGAAATTTTGTTTCTCTACAACTATCACTTTTTATGTTGTTTATTAATATACCAAAAGAAGTAAGAATTTACTTTCATCATTTTCTTGGTCTCACGATTGAGAACCATCTCTAACACAAACACATCGCCAGCAGTGGGTTGCTCAGGTGTTTCTTCCTCCTCCTCCTCCTCTTCTTCCTCTTCCTCTTCATCTTCTTCATTCTCTCCAAGCATGGAAGCAAAGACCTTGTGAACTGACTTACTGACGCCATCTGATGTTTCTCCTGAGTAGAAATTTGAGATCACAAAAAGGGCAGGGGACGGGGAGAGGGGGAAGAGTTTTAAAACAGAATACTCAAAAGAAAATCCCAGAAAAATTTGTGGAAAATAAATTTTTTATTGCAGCAACACCAAACTTGAAAATAAGCACTGTAGCACTGTCCTCCCATTGTTCATCAATTTGCTTGAGCAAGCACCAGTAATGTCTCCATTGTGAGACTTCCTGTTACTGGTTTTGGCATATCTAATATGCCATGGGGAGCTTGCCAGACTCTGCCATGTGGGCAGGATACCCTTGGTAGCTTGCCGGGCTCTCCAAGAGGGGTAGAGGAAACGAACCCGGGTCGGCTGCGTGCAAGGTAAATGCCCTATCAGATGTGCTATTGCTCCAGCCCAAACTTAAAAATAAAAGATAGGAAAATGAACACTCCTCCAAAATCTGTCAGAGAGCAATATATTTTATCCTAGAAATGGCTGCTTTATTCTTCAGGCGAATCCAGCAATAAAAACGAATAAATAAATAAATAAATAAAAGGCAATCAGAAGTAGCACAAAGAACAGAAAAAGAAACTATAATGATTAAGGCGAAGACTTAAGAGCAAAAACAGGTCAATAATATCTGCTTTAAGGATGAGGTAACATGCAAAAATACTGTTATTATAATATTTAAACAGTACTATTTCAGGAATACAACACATTATAGAAGTGTGGTAACTATATATCAAACCACACATGCTAACGCTATTTTAAATATGTGACCTACGTTGTAGTAGTTAGAAAGTAGAATATTTAAGAATTAAAAATTTTATTTTTATTTCTTTTTTATTGAGGTTCTGTGATTTACAATACTGTGATGGTCTGCCATTTCTACACCTCCCTTACCCAAGTAAGAACTCCCCTCCCTTTCAAACCCTCTTCCTTACAAAACCCCTCCCTCAACAATATTGTGTGAATCATTATTTGTGTTGCCTCTGACCCTTTGTTGCTACTTAACTGTATACCTTTAAGTCCCACATATGAGACAGATCATTCTGTATCTATCATTTTCCTTCTGACTTCACTCCGCATGATATACTCTAGCTCCCTCGACATTGCTGCAAATTGCATGATTTTGTTTTTCCTTAGACAGAGCTGCATAATATTCCACTGTGTATATATAGCACAATTCTTCATCCATTCATCCATAGTTGGGCATTTGGATTCATCCATAGTTGGGCATTTGGTTGTTTTCATATCTTGGCTACTGTACTAAATGCAACGAAGAATAGTGGTGGATATATGTCCTTCTGAATGAATGTTTATGTGTTTTTTGGAGATAGAAACCAAAAAGAGGTATCACTGGGTCATATGAGAGTTCTATTCCCATCAACAGAGATGAGGGTTCCTTTCCACCACAATCCCACCAACACTGGGACTGTTTTCAAATTTTTTTTGATATGTGCCATTCTACTGGCATGAAATGATATCTCAAAGTTTTGATTTGCATTTCCCTAATCATGAGTAATGATGGGCACTTTTTCATATGCTTTTTGGCATTCTTTGGGACAGTGTCTGCGGAGAACTAAATTTTTTTAAAAATTCCATATATCATAAGCAACAAATATTGTCAAAACAGTAGCACTGTCTGTAGCACTGTCCTTCTGTTACTCATCGATTTGTTTGAGCAGGCACCAGTAACATCTCACACAAATTGTGAGACTTGTTGTTACTGTTTTTTTGGCATATCGAATATGTCATGGGTAGCTTGCCAGGCTTTGCTGTGTGGACAAGATACTCTCAATAGCTTGCCGGGCTCTCCGAGAGGGGCAGAGGAATTGAACCTGGGTCGGCCGCAGGCAAGGAAAACATCCTCCCTGCTGTGCTATCATCTCAGCCTGTCATAAGAATAATCTTAAAAATTTTTAAACATCCAAAATATAAAAACATGTTAAATAAAGCCCTACTAATAAAGTTTATTACAGTAACAAAAAAAGGGGAAAAAATCATGTGGTAACCTTGACAAAGATGCATGTGATAAATCAAATACCGACTCCTAATAACTATTAATGAAGAATGGAAGGTTACCTTTAATTTGCTAAAGTGCCCACTTTTCTCCCACAAACACAGTTAACAATGAATCATTGTTTAAGTCACTGGGAATAAGACAAGGATGCTATCACCAATCCATTTAACATTTTTCTGGGGGTCCCAACTACTTCATAAGGGAAGAGAAACAAAATTTAAAAGTTGACAGGAGGGGGGCCACAGCAAAATTGAAAGCTTTACATGATAAAAAGAAAAATGAGATCATTTAACCCACCCATTCATGTCTACTTAGCTAATTTGAACTGGATTTAATTAACTGCTTATTTTAGGGAGGATCTGATGGCTACATTCTAGAAGCAACTTTAGGGAAGAGGTAGGCACCCACTGGTTCCTGACAGCTACCACAATTGAATCTGAAAGTCCCATTTATGAAAGAGCTCTTCCTTCCCTAACACTTAAGGAAAGACCCACAAGCTGTTAACACTTCATCCAGATTGCATGTTCTTCTCCCCTGGAAGGGAGCATAACATGACGCGCGCCATAACCATGCCGCCTGACTCCGCACCCGGCTGTTTCACTCGGAACATCCCGGAGCGGGCAGGCAAGACCCCTCCCTGTCCCAAGGGACCCAGCCTCAGTAGCCACAAACCTCCATGAGAACTCACTATGGCAATGCTCAAGACCACTCTCCACATGCTCGGGCTAAGCCTCACCCACAACTGAATCTATTCCTGGACACTTCATACCATATACCCTACCATACTCCAAGAGTACTGCACCACATTTGATAAGGATAAAAGTAGGAGGCAACCAATCTTAGAGGGTAATATATATATACATATATATATTTAGATATGTATGTATGTGTGTATATATACACACACACATAAGCACACAAGGCTCAACCTCTAACATGTTAGTGATCTCTTATAGAAGGGTTTAATGGCCCCTAGGTGAAATACGACAATTTTCACACTCTTTCCTCTAAGGATAATTTTTTGTAGTATTTTCAGTTGTTTTTCATAATAAACAATACAAAATATATCATTTCTGCTCTACTTTGGGGCAGGGATTGGGGTTCGGGATGGAAACACCCAAAATATGGTGGTGGGAAGGTGTAATGGTGGTGGGATTGGTGTTTGAATATTAAATGTAATTAAATATTGTGAACGTGAACTACTTTGTAAAATAAAAAAAATTATAAAAAAAAAGTGTTCAGCCTGGAGCTTGAGCAGTAGGGTGTTTGCCTTGCTTGATTGCTGGTACCCCATACCATCCTCCTCGCCCCCCTTCACCAGGAGTGATTCCTGAGTGAGAGCCAGGAGTAACCCCCGAGGATCACTGGGTGTGATCAAAAAAGCCAAAAAAAAAAGTGCATGGTTTTTTCCACCATGCACTTGCACCGCAAAGTAAGGAATATAAATCCGATTTTCTCCTCTTCTTTTTTCCCTATTTGATCTGAGGAGGCAGAAATAAAATCTGTTTGTTTTCTACTTAACTGATAAATGTGTTCTCTATACAAAGGATTATTTGCTTCTATTACCCCTTGGAACAAGAGTTTAATTTAGACCTACTGTTAGACTCTATAAATGAAATTACATTTTAATTGGCATGGGTAAATGTATACCATGAACTATGTTAATATACACTGTTAATTAGAAAGGTATGCCAATCACTGGAAATTAATTCATTTGTTTATGCATCATCAATTAGGCTTACTCTGGGTATACTAACCAAATTAGTGTGTGAAACAACAGAGGTGAAAAATCCTATGGTCTTCCATTTTGACCTTTCTCTTATCTCTTGTAACTAAAGTAATGGTCTAGAGGTCACATTGTACAGAAGGAAAATTCACTACAATTTAAGAGTAATTAGTTTACCAAAAAGATGAATTACAAGAATAACTTTTGAAAGGCTACCACACTGCTATTAATTTGAAACACTTTTCCAGAAGTATAACTCACAAAACCCACACCAATCCAAGAAATAACAGCATGAAACTAAAAACACCATACGCCTTATACATCAGACAACCAGTCACAGAAAGGAATAAAGTTTCTCATTATTAATGAACCTAAAACATTAGGTACTCCTAACTTTAATACCGGTAGCGAATGATCTTCACATACCTTCACTGACATGTTTGTCATGGGATCTGGTAGAATCAATTCCTGATGATGACGGGATTTCAGAGTCATTTAGATTTTCTTCAGTGGACAACTTCCCTTTCTCCTGAAGGCCCTGAGAGAGAAGATGAATCAATGATTCAAAAAAAAAAAAATTTTGGCTCATTCCAGTTGAAATCAGGTAATTGGCCTCATTTTCTCTTGGTGTCATTGTTCTATAAAACTTGAGTCCTGGACACATAAATGTGAAATCTAAATCTAAATTTGAAAAATGTCTAAAGTGCTCCTTGGGCTTGATCATCCTGCAGGCTGAACTTACAAGTATCTTGATTCAATGTATATTTTATCTGAGGCTTTAAATAAACAGGGGCACAGGAGCTGGTCAAGAATTCACTAATTTCAAAATCTGAATTACTTTGGTTTTCACCACTACAAGTCAAACTGATGCTAAAGTGCATATATTTCCCCCCAAGTCGTGGGGGGGCTGGGAGGCGCGAATCTGCATTTTTAGAGCTCACAACACAACAATTGGAGTGCTAACCCCGCAATTTGGAAGAGAACCTGAGATGCAAATAACTCAGTCGGCCACCCCCAGGTCACAAAAAGGATCGAGTGCCCTGGCTCGGACTTGAACCTGATAGATATCCTGGGCCTGGAACTCTTTCCCCCAACTCCGCAGAAGCCTTAACTGTTACGCCTTCCACAAGCCTCAGAAACACACTCTCTAACAAAGGAAAACCAGGGCTACCACCGAGACCAAACCCCTCTGGCGGGCGCAAGTGGTTTTTTTTTTTTTTTTGTCTTTGTTTTTTTTTCCTGCAGCTCAGCACTGGGATGCAAAGTGAGCCCGGAGATGCAATCCAAAGTGGAGGGCACCTCCGGGGTTTGGTTTTCTCGAGCCCCCTCCAGGGTCCAGGGACCACCAGCCAGGCACAAGCAACCCGGCCTAGCAGCTGCTCACTTTTTTCTCCCGGGTTTTTCTCTCTTCTCGCCTCCTCTCGAACTCTTCAAAGGAAATCTTCCCTTCCAGGTAGTCTATGAGCTCCGGGCTGAACCCCGACATAGCGGCGGGTTCGGGCTCCCGGGAAGCCGGACACAACAGAAGGAAGAGCAGCACCTCCCACCTACTACGCCTTCTGGGGAGCGGCGGAGCACCGTGCCCGAGCGTCCTTCCGGGAAACGGGCTCGGTCTGCGCTGCGACCGCTTCTCCAAGGTTCCGGCTGCGCGCGGCCCCGCCCCTTATGGGCAGGGCCCTGCGAGGGGGCGGAGCCTCCTGCTGCGGGCTCACACCTCTGGCTTGAGCTAATTAGGAATTTAGAGGGGATTAAAAAAAAAGTGCTTGAAAGATTTTTTTTCCCTCTTTAATCTGGATCAGTCCCTTCAATTATCTAATAAGAGTCTTACTGCCAATCCATTCCTTTTGTGAATACTTTTTTTCTAGAAATTAATTTGGTTTTGCTCTAGGGATTTTTTCCCCCCACTTCAGTCCTTTACTCGGCCACAGTCTAGGCAAGTCTTCCAGTTCTACCCTACCACAGACAACCGCAGCCCTCCCCCAACTGCTCTGAATCCTCTCCCTTTCAATTTATGGCATCGACAGGTTTTCCCTGAATAAATTCTCAAACTCTTGTTCCTCATGTCACTCTTCATCTGGATTTGTTCCACTGTTAACTCGCACCAGAATTGTCCTCTTAATGAACTTTTAGAAAAAAATCAGTTGGTTAACGTGATTTCTGTGGCCTATTGTCCGTTCACTAGACTGTTTGTGAGCTCAATACCTGGTGCCTATTTTGTAACTATCTCAAAATGATCCTTGACAATTGGTTATTATTACTCCTAATGCCAAAGTCTATATCAAATAAATATGGTATCACTCACCACCCATCATACATTCTTATTTGCAGGGGATACCTACTTTTCCAAAACTCCCAGTGGATGGCTGAAACTGCAGACAGTACCCATATATTCTTGTCTTTCTTCTACAAATGCCTATTACAAAGTTTTATTTGGAAAACAAGAACAGTAAGAATTAACAATAATAGAATAGAATTAAAGCATTATCCAATAATAAAACTTATGTAAATCTGGTCTCTCTTTCAAAGTACCCTAACCTTAAATAATATTTTTTGATCATTGCTAAACACAGGTAACTAAAATCTTGCAAAGAAAAGCGGGAAAAAGGTGATTAGAGTAGTAGAAAGAGAATTTGAGCAAGTATCTATCTGACTCCAGTTTCCATGCTTGGAATGCTCAGATGCACTGATTCCCTTCAATGGAAACTGTTTCCTTCCTACATATTCTCATGTTCTATCTTGTTTTGTGTTTAATCTTGATTGAAACTATTTTTGCTGTCCCTCATATATTAGAACCACTAGCCTATGTTTATGTAGGCATCTTTGGGAAGCTTCCCTTATAGCCCTATAATTAGTGTTCAAAATGTATGTATGAATTAAATTAGTTTGAATACAAGTGACTTTGGAATGGGCAAAACATTTGAAGTACGAAGTATAGATGATGCAGCTGAGTATGCAGCCAGCTACAGTTAGACAAGTCACAGGGAATCTGTAACGTGGCAATTAGTAACTCTTCATGACTAGGTGAGGAAAGTAATAGTAGGAGGGCAGAATAAAGGGGTAGGACCTGCAAAAGAGGACTGACAATTAAAAGAAACTCTCTCCCTTTTCTCCTCAGAGTTCTGCCTGAAATGCAAGCAGTGTGGAGTGGATAAAGATTATCTGCAACACTTACTGGTAAATTCTTCCCTGAATTTCTCCAGCCAGTCAAAGGAATGCATTTTATTTATTTATTTTTATTAGTGAAACACCATGAGGTACAGTTGTAGACTTAGAAATTTTTGTGCTTGGATTTCAGTTATACAATGATTGAATACCTATCCCTCCACCAGTGCCCATTTTCCACCACCAAGGGTCCCAGTATCCCTCCCACCCCCGATCCCTCCCATCCCACCCTGCCTCTGTGGCAGAGCATTCCCTCTTGTTCTCTCTCTCCTTTTGGGTGTTGTGGTTTGCAAAAGAGGCATTGAGTGGCAATCATGTTTGGTCTATAGTCTACTTTCAGCATGCTTCTCCCATCTTGGGAGGATCCTCACAACACCCTTTATTTGGTGCTCCCAGGGAATGCATTTTAGCAGAAGTTAGAAGCCTCTAATTCTAACTATCCTGGAGAATAAGGGGGGAATACAAAGGAATCCATTGTTAAGACCAGATGGCTTTGACCAGCTGCTCATATTAGTGGCTGCCAAGAATATGTGAATAGCAATTCTGGAGAAAGAGATGTAAGCTGAGGAGTGGAGGGAAGATGATTTTTCTACTATGGAACACTTTGATGACATAAAAGTTCTCTTACAAATTACAACTTATGTTTGAATTTTCATTTCACTATTGATATTTATTTTTGGTTTGAGAGCCACACTAACAACGCTTAGGTTTCATTCCTGGCTCTGTGATCAATGATCACTCCTGGCGGGGTCTATGGGAACAAATGGGGTGCTGGAGATTGAGCCTGGGTTGGCTGCTTGCAGGAAAATGCCCTACCAACTGTAGTATCTCTCCAGACTCATTATGTTGAATTTTTTAATAATTCATTTTTCTTTTCTCCACTTGTGATTTCTCCCTCAGTGAGTTAGAGGCATCTACAATACCTGAGGAGAAGTGAAATTGCTGTAGTCATAATGAAAATAGTAAGATGCTCTGCAAACTTTCAGATTTATTTTTCAAGAAGAAAACTGTAGGTCTGAAGAAAGTAGAACTCTGAGTTTGTACCTAGATCATAGAATTAGGAGAACACAAGGAAGCAGGGATGTCATCCATTCTCCTTGTCAAAAGGAAGAATGGGATAATTCCTACTTGCTCTTTGGAAAGAGCAATGGGCATGATGGGGTATGACCCTTTGGGGAAAACATTTTTTCCCCATGGTTCTATAACTTTTAAAAATAATTTTATAAGGGGGTATGGTGCCACCAGCAGGACAGTCTGTACCTGTGAGGCGAGTGGATCAGCAACCTGATGGCACCTTCAGACTTCCAGATACCCCAAAATTGCTGCTGTGCCTTTGGCCAGATCTCAACAACTTGGGGCAAAATTTACCAAGAAAGTAACGGCCAAAAGTTAGGTATGTGGGAAACACACCCACAAACCACCTCCAGCTCAGCTATAGAATTGGAGGCATGGCCTCTCTGGTTCCTGATCGAACTGCTTAATGGCCATGATCTCAGAGACTCAGAAACAAATCTTGAAACCCAGCGGCTTTTGGCAGAAATGCGTCCGGTCCCTGCAGTAGGTTATTGGTGCCGGGCCAACCCAGGTGAGAATAGATTTCGTGCCTTGGCCTGTTCCCCCTGGCGGCCCGGTGTCCGCCATCCTCCAGAGGCCACTGGACAGTCAGGTTTGGGCCCGCAGTGACAAGACACACAGGGCCTCACGGGATGGGGGTGGAGCCGGTCCTGTCCTCCCCACCCCAATGAGACCCCAAGTTATCGCCCACAAACGGCCTCTCTGGCTCCTGATCAAGCTGCTTAATGGCCATGATTCCAGAGACTCAGAAACAAATCTCGAAACCCAGTGGCTTTGGCAGAAATGTGTCTGGACCCCACAGTATGTTACTGTCGCCGGGCCACCCCAGGGAGGAAAGGGTATTGTCACTCGCCTGCCTCCCCCCTGGCGGCTCGGTGGTCATCATCCTCCAGAGGCCATTGGACTGTCAGGCTTGGGCCTGCAGTTATGAAACTTGTTGGGCCTCACGGGATGGGGGATGGGCCTGTCCTCACCACCCCAACAAGACCCCAAGTCATAGCCCACGAACAGCCTCTCTGGCTCCTGATGAAGCTGCTTAACGGCCATGTTCCCAGAGACTCAGGAGCAAATCTCGAAACCCAGTGGCTTTTGGCAGAAATTCCTCCATATTTAAGTGTTAAAATTTCAGAATTTCAAAATCGCGTGGCCACTACTGCAGCCACGCGACATCATATGTTATTCATAACCAGCAATAGAACACAGATTGTCTACTGTTGCCTTTTCAGCGGATCTGAGTGCTGGGGTAAAAATCTCAAATAATAATGGTGGGTCTGGTGTCGAAATACTGAATGTGCTCAAAGTAGAGAGTAATGTGGAAATCATCTGCCTCACAGGTAGGGGGAGGGTGTAGGATGGGGGTATACTGGGGTTTTTGGTGGTGGAGAATGGGCACTGGTAAAGGTACGGGTGTTTCATTGTATGACCGAGACTTAGACCCGAAAGCTTTGTGACTGCTCTCACGGTGATTCAATAAATAAAATTATAAAAAATGAAAAGTGGAGTTCATGCACAATTCAATCAGCTAATCAGTGGCTGAATAAATAGCAGTACTCATACATAAAATAAATAATTTTATAATAGTTAATATTACATAATTCTGGGTTAGTTTTCCAAGTGTATCTGTAGAACAAATTGTCTTGAAAGATAATCTCTTCTTTGGGGGGAAAGGGTAGCTCTGTTCTCTGACCAGTTATCATAATAAAGATAGTAGCACGTTTTGCTACTAATTCCCTTGTGTGAAAATTTTCCTAAGTTTGTAGTATCTCTTCTGTAACACAAACTTAATTCAGCAGAGCATAATCCTGGACCCTCCTTCTCCACATGAGCTCTGTGATACTTCAGTGATAAGGAGAAACAATATGTATTTATTTATCTTTATTATTATTTAATTTTTTTAATGAATCATTGTGAGATAGTTACAGATTTACAAACTTCTGTGATTATGTTTCAGTCACACAATGGTTGAGTACCTATTCCTCCACCAGTGCTCATTTTCCACCACCAATGTTCCCAGTGTCCCTCCTGCCACCCCCTTGTTCCCGCCCCCCCCCCCCCCCAATCTCTGTGGCAGGTACATTCCCTTTTACTCTCTCTCTTCTTTTGGGTGTTATGGTTTGCAATATAGATACTAAGTGGCCATCATGTTTGGTCCATAGTCTATTTTCAGCACGCATCTCCCATTCTGAGCAAGCCCTCTAAGTATCATTTACTTGGTGGTCCCTTCTCTATCTCAGCTGCCTTTTTCCCCAGCGTGTGAGGCTGGCTTCCAAGCCATGGAGTGATCCTCCTGGCCCTTATCTCTA